GATCACTTCCTCTTCAAGGAGGGCGATCGTTTCCTTCAGGCAGCGAACGCATGCCGTTTCTGGCCCACCGGACGTGGCATCTTCCATAACGACGATAAGACTTTCCTGGTCTGGTGCAACGAAGAAGACCATCTTCGCATCATCTCTATGCAGATGGGTGGTGATCTTGGACAGGTAATTACACTATGCTAAAAAATTAAGGGATCACTTATTTTGTCTTCCAATTTTTAAGAGTTTGTCTTCTGTGAGCAGTTAAAGTAAAAAAAAAGGATATTTTTTGCTTTAATGTTGAATAACTCAATCGAAAAAAATCGCACAACAATCAATAAATATCACTTAAAGATTCTTTCAAAAGTTGTAAATTATATTTGTATGCGATTTTTAATTCACGTCATAGAACTTTGCAAAGTTTATAGAAAAAGTTCGAGATTTAATGGCCGTCCATTTGTATCCGTGTAGCTTTGTAAAAAGATCAGTACAATTCGTAAAAAGTCATCTAAAATATCGATCTCAAAAGTAGAAACTTTAAAAAAAAAATCATCTCGTAATCATTTTTTACGAAGTTACTCTTTCTTGAAAATTATCTGTTTTTGGAGAGCAGAATAAGTAATTTAAAAATTTTTCAGTATATAGTGTATTTAGAAACAATAATATAAATAAGTCAGGACTCAAACATAATAAAAAGAATAATAAATAACAGATTTCAACCTATGAAAAACCGGAGATACACTGTTTCCCTAATAGATTGAAATCTGTTATTCCTTATTCCTTTTATTATGTTTGAGCACTAACAAATTGTATTTAACAAATTATACTATAATATAATTTTCAGTTATAAGTTCACATTTAGCAAGCATAAATGTCTAAAAAAACATTGATGACATAAATATTTAAAAAAAAAATATCCTGAATTTTTTTTGTAATAGCTTAAAAAGTTTTTTGAAACTTTTAGTGTGCAAGTGTTACGTAAAAATGATATAATGTTCGTTAAAAAGGATCTCGTAATTGATTGACAAATTTAATTTAGCATTACAATGTAATTACCATCTTGACATATCCAAGTATTAATTAATTCGTGTTTACCAGGTATACCGGCGCTTAGTGACAGCGGTGAACGAGATCGAGAAACGGCTGCCATTCTCGCACAACGATCGCTTCGGCTTCCTGACGTTCTGCCCGACGAATCTGGGTACGACGGTGCGTGCTTCGGTGCACATCAAAGTGCCGAAACTTGCGGCAAACAAGGCCAAGCTCGAGGAGATCGCAGCCAAGTACAATCTACAGGTGCGCGGTACCCGTGGCGAGCACACCGAGGCCGAAGGCGGCATCTACGACATCTCCAATAAGCGCCGTCTCGGTTTGACCGAGTACCAGGCTGTGAAGGAGATGAACGATGGCATCGCTGAGCTCATCAAAATCGAAGCCAGCCTCTAAACCCATCCCCTCCCCTGATACACTTCGTATTCGTTTACTCTCCATCGTAGCCCCGTCGGACGCCACTGTATTTACGTGACGTTACGCTGGAAACTGTGTCTACGGCGTGAGGATTTTATTCTGAGAATAAATCGCAAGAGCATGAAAAAATCGTTCAACGACGATCTAACGCCGGCGGCATCGAGCTTTTCAGCCATTTTCGCGTTGTTCGTCTTTATACATATGTAAAGACGTATATATAAATATCATAATTAGCGCTGTCTAGTACGATGTAAGCTGTTCGTGTTCTAGCCTTTTTCTTTTCATTTGCTATTTTTTCTTTTTTTCTTGGTTTAAATTAATAAAAAGAAACTTTGGTTCATATATGAAATAATCACAGTTATAAATTATATCATTTTATGAGTAGAAAATCTTAGAAGAAAGTTAATCATATTTTGTGAAATTTTTTAATACATGATTTCTATTTCCAATTTTTTTTTATTAACCACTGTACTTTATATTATGTCTGTACGGTATCTTGTCATTAATCTAATCGAAAACATGAAACTAAAGGAGGCAAAATATATGATAAAAAGATGGCTTTATTAGAGATCAGCTCACATCGCACTTCGCACGTTGTATTCGACAGTATTTTAGTTTCGTACACTTGTTCCTTTTTTTCTCGTTCTTAGTATGTAATTTTGAAAGATCGGGAAATATTCTCGAAGCAACGCACTCGCGATTATTTCATTTTAATTTCTTTTTCTTTTTTTTTCTTTTGGTTGCAATCGCATTTGTTATCGATACATAGTCACGCGCGTTTACACACTTAGTAGTGCTCTAGTACTAGTCCCCTGCAGTTCGTCGTGATTGTCTATTAAACGAGATAATAAGGGAAAAGAGAAGGAAGATGTCGTCGCTGTTTTAAGAGATATTCGTACGATGACGACGGTTTTTAAATTATCCGTGTTCTTGAGATTGCCACGGAGCATCAAGGGATCGCGGGGAGTGCTGTTCTCAGTACTCTGCGGTCTTTCTAGTCTGCGGATGGTGGAGAGCGACATTCATGTTTTTTCATTCTCTTTTTTACCACGTGAGAGGCCAAGAAGGAACATCTGCGCGACGGATTTTAACACGCACTACAAAACACACGCGAGCAAGCGTTGCGGCATATTATAGAGACAGTGTATTACCAGCAGATTCGACAAGATGTACGGTGAGAATATAAATAATGAAACACGAAAATAAAAAGACATACACATTATATATTTCGTTGTGTGTTTTACTCTCCCAATTTTATTCGACTTTCTAATTCCTGATGTCTCTTTATTGTGAACTGAAGATATCTCTACCGTAAAAAATTTTTCAAATTGATTGTTACGACATATTTTTAAATTGTTAATTTATATATTTATTTTTATACTTTTTACCATCATGATAGATAATCCATTAAACAATTTGCAGTAAATCTTCAATTTAGGGGACTCTACAATATTGAGAAATTATTAAATTTCTTTATTATCGTTAAAAATATTAATAAGGGTGATCACATACTTCTAAGATCTTGGCGTTTTATATTAATCAGTTTTATTAATACTATATTTATTATAAATAAAAAGAAACTTAATGATAAAAGGCGTTTGTGTCAAAAAAACGTTTTAAAAATA